CTCTTGCCCAATACAGCACCAGCGATCGATGATCCCGCCGATCCCGGATTGAAAGATCCGAACCTGAAAATAACTGTGATAAACAAAAAAAATTTTATATCAAAAGTATAGAATTTTTTTTTTGACTAAATCGGATTTTCTCTCAGCTTCCATCGCTCAACCTATCACAACAAAACGTCAAACATTCAAGGCGATTACTGCAAAATGAAACTCGCCAAGAATGTTTTCCAGAAAATTAATCTTTACAAATTGATTAAAAGTAAATCTTACCCCCCGTAATCCAATGATTGTGCACCATAATAAGAATATCCCCAACCAAACGATTCTACACCTGCGATTACCAGTAGGACGATCAATAACATCAGTATATCCTTCATGGTTCCCATCCAAATCTAATAAATACCTAAAAATGTCAACATCGAGGCAAAACAGGGAAGAATTTAGTTATTGAAAAATGGTGCGACAAATAAAGTATCACTTGCTACAACTTTTAAAATATTTCGAATAAATAATTAATTGGATAACCTAAAAAGCATTTGATGACCTTTTTTGAGCATTAATTTCTTATGGTAAGGATTTCAAAAAAAGTAAGATGGAAGATAGCATCTAAACAGCTACATTTGACACAATGCATAAATAATAATAAAAGGACAACCGATACTGAGTGAAGTTTTATAAACTGCCCAGTGTGACATTAACTGCATTGTATTGTTTTCTCCTCCTTCCACTCCTCTCACCGAATATTTTCGAATTTTCAGTGAATTGGTGAATTCTTTAATGCTATGAAAATTCGCATTAATTTTAAGAATTTGGCAGCAAAGTAATTTTTTTTTATTTAATTTTGTGTCTAAATATTTACGAAATTATTGCACTTTGAGTTCGTTCTTCTCTTCAGTGCAGAAATTCCGGTTTAAAATATTGAGCGCATGTAGTAACAGCAAAATAACCTTGCGTAAAACGTGTTTGACAGATAAAATGAGATGGAGAGTTTGTCAATGTGCTGCAATTAGATTTCTGCAAAGTATTTTGAAATTTGGATATATTTTCCCATCATATTTATAATTCTCTCAGATAAATAAGGTTGAATTTCAGAATGCAATTTTTAAAGGATTCCGTCTGTTGTTCGTTCATACTTATCTTCTATTCATTGTCTTCTGATTTTAAACGAAGGTGACGAACATTTCGAATACAGTTATTGCACTTTATGCATTTCTCATTATTTTTATGAAATTGATCTTCGACCCACTCCTTCATCGAGTAGAAAATGGAGTGGAAAAAAAACAAAGTTAAACTATTTCTTCTTTCTTGCATATGTTTGCTTCACTCTGATATGTTAGCAACGTACAGCCGTTAGATGCGCAACACTCGTCATGATCGATAGTAAAGCTTGTCCCAATACTATATCTTCTTTATTTTTGTTTTACTCTCAAATCAGAAATTCACAAACTGTGATCGTTAATTGAAATTACGGTATTCCATTCAATTTGCTAAATATACGATGCATTGGTTGATCTTTGTCCGAGATTGAAGGACAAATGGGACGAATAGCCTCACATTTCCTTATTTGTTATTATTCAAATAATTTTTTTTGATGTGAAATAAGTAAACTTTCCTATTTATTAAATTTACCAATGCAAAAATACGGGAAAACGCAAATAAAGTGAACAAAAGCTATACTCTATGTCACATATCATTTAGGTGGCAAAAAAGAAAAAAATGGACATAAAAATCGGCGTCTCTTTTTCTTTCTCTATAAAATTACAAGTAACTGAAAGGATTAAATGAAGTTAAGAGCTTTTATTTGACATAAATGTCAATTCGATCATTCATTCAGAAAAAAAAAAAACAAATGAGACGCAGTTGGCATGACGACAACACACCAAAAAAACATTTTTTGCAGAATGAATAGCAAAACACAGGAAACGCAATAATTTCCCACGTTTTAAGGCAACAATTAACTAGAAGAAAAAAGAAAGAATTAATTTACTTCTGCCGTTAATTCAAAAAAAAAAGATTTTCCTTTCTGGTCAAATTTTAGAACAGGAAGGATTTATCTAATTCACTAGAAAAAACATGAAAAACATTTGATGGAGAGGAGAATAAAGCGGAAATATCTAGTTCAGTGTCACTCCGTGCAATTTATATAAATGTCACATAGTTTCGGCTGTTTTTTTACTATTATATATTCATCGTGTCAGATACAGCTACTCAAATCCTGTCCTCTAACTTCCAATGACAATTTCATGGAAATCCTCATTCCTCCTAAGAAGCTGATACTCAAAGAAGATATTAAATTCTTTTTAGGTTATCCAATTAATTATTTATTCGAAATATTTTAAAAGTTGTAGCAAGTGATACTTTATTTGTCGCACCATTTTTCAATAACTAAATTCTTCCCTGTTTTGCCTCGATGTTGACATTTTTAGGTATTTATTAGATTTGGATGGGAACCATGAAGGATATACTGATGTTATTGATCGTCCTACTGGTAATCGCAGGTGTAGAATCGTTTGGTTGGGGATATTCTTATTATGGTGCACAATCATTGGATTACGGGGGGTAAGATTTACTTTTAATCAATTTGTAAAGATTAATTTTCTGGAAAACATTCTTGGCGAGTTTCATTTTGCAGTAATCGCCTTGAATGTTTGACGTTTTGTTG